TGGGGTTTATCTGGGTTTGTGACATCACAAACCTGGGAAGTAACTTCTTGTAGTCCCTACCAGCCATTTTTGTAGGCATTAAACTGCCAGAATTTTAAAAGACGATATCTCCGTTTGCATTGAACTTTCAGCTTCGTAACTTTGCAGATATTGTTTATGCTCAAACAGCAACATTACACACTAACTAACGTTAAAAAAGTGAAATCGCAATCAACCACCCCTTTAAATAAATAATAGATCTGGACCAAAATTAATCCTTAAAGCACTGTTTTTCACAATGACCTGGCAACCACCCACAAGAATCACTCACTAGTTTATTTTAGTTTGTATTGTTCGGTGTAAAAGATGACAGACATTTAGCATTTGCCTTGAAGTGGATTATTCCATAATAATGTATGTGGTGTCGTGGTGTGTTGCCCTTTCTCTCCTCCGAAGTAACTGTATATGCTTTACAACAAAAAAGCTAAAAGCAAACGGACTGTGACTGAACATCTGCTAGAATTATAAAGACTAATAAATTACTTTTTGAGAAAGCATTGAGCTTGAGAAGACAAGGATGGAGAATATGAGGGAGAGGAAAAAGGTGTATTTGACGCTGAGGTGTGTGATAGGCAGAGCTCGAACAAAGGGGCTGTTAGAACGAGGTAGTTAATTGTTCACTTTGGGATGGCATCTTGTCAGCAGAGATAAGTTGTCACGTTTTCCACTTGAGCTGAGACTAAGCGATTGTAAAATAAGTTACGGCCGTCCTTGGGGCTGTCTGCTGATGCACGGGGCTGGGAGCATGCTCAGTGCCATCCTGAATATCCCCACAGCCCCTCCCCACATCAGCGCTTTCACCCCGCCTGATATTGATGTGAACTGAATGTTATTTTATTCTGCCGCTAGTCACAGCTGTCAGTGCCGCTTATGAAAAGTGAAGCAGCCTTCTGATAGCCTGAGCTGGAAAATCCAGCCAAACGCCAGTCAGAACTGGCCTCACACGAACGCGAGCGCTCAATCATTTAAACCAGAGCAGACACCACAGAATATTCTTTATGCGTGAGATAAAAAAGGGCTGAATGTTTACATCAGTTTCTCTCTCTTTGTGTCCAGATGCCGGTCTGGGAGATTCTGTATGCTCCAGTCCAAGCATATCCAGTACCACCAGTCCAAAGATAGACCCGCCCCCATCACCCCACGCCAACCGCAAAAAACACAGGAGGAAGAAGAGTACCAGCAACTTCAAGGTGGACGGCTTCTCTGGAACTGCAGAAGGTACATCCGGTCTCTGTACCACTTCATCTGTAGTCTTCTCTTCCTCTCAGATCTGATCAGATCTTTACTGACCATCTCTTGGTCTGTAAAACTCAGCCACGTTCCTAAGAACCACTGTATTGCATTGGTTCTTAAACGATCTTTAACATCGTATCTAACTGCAATGTTATATGATGTTTTACAGGGTGAGTAATAAGAGGGTGAGTGTGAAAAACTATTGCACAAAAGTCCACTCAGAAAATTTTTACATTTAAAACCTGTTTAAACCTGGAAACAAATGGAAAACTCTAGGATGCTGCATTTCTAGGTCACGAATCAAATTAGTATTCGTATGAGTCCAAAAAAAATGCAATAGAACAGAGTTCTTGAAGTTTTTCAGTAGAGGTATTATTAAAACTGCTAAAGTTATTCAGTCAAGAACAGTGACTGTTTTTATTTTGTCAATATTGCTGTGTAATCCACTTCATTTATACTGCAAGAAATAATGCACAGAGCTATTTTGATATAACATTGTTCATTGTGTATGTCCTTTTAAGTATAATCTAAATTATATTTAATTGTGAAATTGACCGTGTGAACTCCTTTGTAGAAAAAGTCAAACTTCCACCTTGCTCTTAGAAACATTCTCAAATCATGCTGGATAACATAATCATTCAATTTTACACTGCTGCTGTCATGAAAGACAAACTCTCATTCCAGGAAAATGTGGACCATATACACAAGAAAGCAAGACAGCGTTTAGGTCTACTCAGGAAACTAAGAAATTTTAGCATTGATAGGAGGGTCTTAACCATTGTTTATAGGTCGATGATTGAAAGTATTTTAACATATAATATTGTATCATGGTATGGCAATTTAACAATGAAACAGAAAAATAAATTAACACGAGTAATTAATGAAGCAAATAGGATAATCAGCCAGAAACAGAGTACAATGCAAGAGCTGTTTTTATACTTTATGGAAAAAAAGGCGATTGCAGTCTATTCAGATCAAACTCATCCACTTCATTCCTGCTTTGAGGCCCTTCCTTCAGGGCGCAGGCTGCGTATACCGCTGGCTAAAAAGAACCTATATAAAAGATCATTTGTACCATTGGCGGTGACTGTTTTAAACCAAATTCTTAAGTGAGGTATTATCATGAGGTATCTTTCTGGGTAGGTGTGTGTACACATGTGTATGCATATGTGTGGGCATACATACATATTGTATTGTATTAATTTTTATTTTTTTTTTAATTTTTATGTGATATGTGAATGTGTAGTATTATTTGTTAGTTAGGATGTTCTATGCCAGTGTCGAAGATGAATTTCTGTTCAGGAAATCTGGACAGACAATAAAGTTAAACTAAACTAAACTAAAAAAAGCAAAACGGGGACAAACCAAATGCTATAAAAATTCTGAAATTCATGTTAATTCATGTACTTTTCACTCAAATTCTGATGCTGAAAATATAATTTTTTAATTAGAAAAGTGGAGAATAGCAGGCCTTTTGAATGGTGCTACAGTCATCTGTACATTTCATTATAATCAAAGAACCCTTCCCATATACCAGCATGTATATAAACACCATAAGTTGCATACACTGCTGCTGTCACACACACATAAACGCAAGCAAGCACACACCGTCATGCAGTAAAGTTGTGTCTGCTGTGACGGTGCAGTGGAACAGATGTTTCTGAGCAGCAGATGTGTAATATGTTTCCTGCCATCAGTATGGATCAGGCAGCTGACAGGCCTGCGTGGAGCAAGAGAAATATGCTGAGTGATTATTACACACTCACACAGACAAGCCGGTTAAACACCGTCTGTCACTCACTCACACACGCACAGACTCCACTCATCACTGCAGCTACCATTCTGACACAATGGATAGATATTTGTATTTATTTTAGTACTCATTCTCATAGAGAATTGAAGCTTAAAGTGGTTTAATTAGCATTGTATATAACTACACACAGTATTGTTTGTTCAACTTTGCAATAAGCCTACATTTAAATATGATGTAAATGCAGATAACATACTCTGCTGTTCAAAAGTTTGTGGACTGTAAGTTGTTTAAAAAAACATTTATTCAGCAAGGGAAAAGTTATGCTCAAGACTTATATTGTTACAAAATGATTTAAAGTAAATGCTGAACATTCTATTCATCAAAGAATCCTAATATATATATATATATATATATATATATTACAGTTTCCACAAAAATATTGAGCAGCAACTGTTTTCAACATCGATAGTAAAAAGAAATGTTTCTTGAGCACCAAATCAGCATATTATAATGATTTCTGAAGGATCATGGGACGCTGAAGACTGAAGTAATGGCTGCTGAAAATTCAGCTTTGCATCACAGAAATACATTACATTATAAAATGTATTAAAATAGAAAATGGTTACATTAAATGGTAGTAATATTTCAATATTTATCAAACATGTCCAATGACAAACTTGGATTACTCTTTGAAAGAAAATTTGGATTAAACTAAATTAACCTAAACGTTTATTTATTTGCAACTGGAAAAAAAAAATGCTAGATTGCAATGTAATGTTCAGGAACACTTGGTGTAAATGGGTCTTCAGTTTACAGGAAGTAGTTCATAACCTCTAGACAGGGTTAGCGTACAGTTCTGAAGTGTCGTAAGGTTGTCTGTGTTTGTGTGTGTGAGAGAGGAATGATGTAGGAATGATGGATGAGTGTGTGTCAGCTCAGAGAGTGTGTGATTAATTAGACTGGGCTTGTGTGGGTGGCCGCGGCCTCTTGAGAGCCGAGGATCAGTGCTTGTTTAAAATGTTCCCAATCACCCTTATTGATCCTCTCCCAAAGGGGGCCAATATATTGTCCGTGAGGGAAGAGTATGTGTGCATGTATATATACACATCAGTGTGTCACATGCAGTGTGTATCAGAATGAAATCTATTCTGCATATTTCTAGCTGTATTAAATATCATATATTTATGCATTCAGTGGTTCTCAACTAGGGGGTCGTGACCCAAAAAAATGGATCACAGATCTGTTACCAGACAGAACAGAAAACAATGCTAAAGAAATCTCTGTAACTCATGTAAGATTGACAAGATTAATCATGTATAAGCAGTGGCATTGATTGAATATACATAGGAAAATAATATTTTCTCTTACAGTGCATAGATAAAATGGTAATATATATAGGCATCATGCAGTATTTTTTTTTCAAATTCTGGTCACTTGGTAGAAGCAAGTCAAATTAGACAGATACAAACATAGACAGGTTTCATGACAGTTTCAAACTATGCAAAATAAAATAAAGCAAAGCCAACATGCGGATAACTTATAACCACATTATAACCACATTGCAATGTTTTGTGCACTTAATTATTATAATATAAATTATATTTTAGTATTAAATAAATTATGTAGCATACACTACCATTGAAAATGTTGGGGTCAGAAAGATTTTTTTAAAGAAATTAATACTTTCAATCAGCAAGAATGCATGAAATTGATCAAAAGTGACAGTAAAGACATTTATAATGTTACTGAAGATTTCTATTCAAATGAAATAAGCATTCTATTCATCAATGAATCCTGAAAAATATATATATATCTCCGTTTCCACGAAAATATTTAACAATAGGATCATGTGACACTTGAGACTGGAGGAATGGCCATTACAGGAATACATTACATTTCAAAAAATATTATAATATTTTTATAATATAATATAATATAAAAAATAATAATATTTCATAATATAACTGTTTTTTACCGTGTTTTTCCTCAAATAAGTGTAGCCTTGGTGAGCATAAGAGACTTCTATTAAAAAAAAAAAAAAACTTACCAACCCCAAACTTTCGAATGTAAGTGTATGTTAATATGCACAATCATTTTGCCAGTCAATTTTCATAGTAATGCAATGTCTGATTTTATAGTGTTGGATTGGATTGCCATCAATGTAAAATTTGGGAATTGTAGCAAAACCAGTTGAGAACCACTGTACCATCTCTACCATGACCTTAGCATTTGAGATTTTTGAGAGACCATCTGTTCCACTTAATACTCTCTATGGTGCCACCATGTGGTAATGGAAGAGTGGAATCATGGGAAATGAGAACCCTGATAGTCCTTAGATTGTAGAAGGCAGATACATGAACATTGTTTCAAAATGTTATTTAGTCTTGGTTGATAAATCTCTAAACCTTACATTTTATTTTCCAATGTAATCTGGAAAACTCTTAAAAAATTTAAAAGTTACCAAAAAAAAAAAAGAAAACACACACACACAATCTGTTAATGAAGCTGTGATTATTATGATTGATATTCTGGGGTCATATGAAAATGAATTATATTCTTCCTTTACTGTGGCATACCTGTTTAACATTTTATATTTTCAAATGTAACATTTGTACATTTGTACTGAAACAAAGAGATTTTTCTTGTCGTTTCTGACCTGTAGGGGTCTTCTGTGAGAAATGGGGTTGCATTCATTTACCTCACTCACCCCCTCTTTGTTCCTCGCCATCACTATCTTTCTTTCACTCTTTCCCCATCCTCCCTCCTCCCTTTTCTTTTTCCTAACCCTGGAGAGCCACTTTGTCTTGCCCTGATTCACGTTTTTTGAAAAGGTTGAACGTTGTCAGACGCTGCCCGGGCCTCTTCCCCAGCCCCCATTCGTCAGGCAGGCACTTAAGTGAAATATTATAAATAATCTTCAGTATTGAAATCTTTTATCAGCTGTGTCACTTTCATTATTCAATAAGCGATTAGTAACAGTCTCCCAATTTAGCCATTAAGCACTTGTGCGTGGGGCCGGGGAGTGCTGTCACGCCGCGGGCCTGCTGAAGGATCAGGCTGTCAGCCTCTCTGTTATTCATGAGGTCCACCAGCCAGGTAACACGCTCATAGTGTTTTATATAACACACACATACTGTCACGGTCAGGTACTGCACTCATAGTGTTTTATAGAGCATGCATACATTTACATGTACTCTCATGGTGGTGCTGAAACACTGTGTGTTGCTAATAT